TGTCTGTGAGTTTGACTCCTTGGGGGCCCCCTGTGAGTGGAATCATACAGTATTTGTCCTTTGTGTCTTGCTTATTTCACTAGGGCACTGCCCTCAAGGCTTATGCATGTTGTGCACGTCATAGGCAACCCGTCAGCTTCCTTAAAGTCTCGTGTCTGTCCTCCCTCGTCACCCTCTGCCACCGCTTGCGCAGGATGCCACCTCGCTCCTGGGCCATTGTCGAAAGAACGAACTGGTCTCCCAGCCTCAAGTCCTGCCCTTGCCCCGTGCATGTCCACACCACTTCCGAAGTGATTTTGCCGTTCTCTTTTTAAGTTTCAGATTAGATTTTAAAACGTATTAAAGTGATACATGTGCATGGTCATCAAAAATTCACCCAATATGAAAGCACATAAAATGAAAAGACGCACCCCTTTCTGTTCCACTTTTGTGGCTGTGCAGCAGGTTTAACCCCTGCTTGGCTTGCACTCATGTGTCCATGCACTGCAGTTCGTCAGCAAGCCCCGTCTTCTGGGACACCCAAGTTGCTTCTGACATGTTAGTTTTTAGGGCTGGGTGCACCCTTGGCCATGAATCTTGGCCCATGTCCAGGTCAGTTCCAAATGAGCCAGCAGACTCCTCACCAGGCTGCCCGGCTGCATGCTTATGGGTGTCTTGGACTCCAGCCTCCACTGCAGCTCCTGGTCAGCCAGATTCAGCGAAGCCCAGAGCAGCAGGTCAGTTCCAAACTGGCCCAGGGCCTGGGGTTCGGCGTCAGAGCATGGGAAGCGCCTTCGCTGCCTGGGAGGCCCGGGACTGTTCTCTGGGGCCCTGTATTTCGTGCAGCTGTCAGCTTTGGGGTTTGCCCAGGATTTGTCGCTCACACAGCTGAGCTGGCCCTGATGAAGTGACCTTGTCAAATGGGGGTAAAGCGTGTGCTCCCCCATATCCCCACACAGCAATACAGGCGGAGGGCCAGCTCAGGCGCATGGTCTACCTGGGGCTCTGACCCACAGCTTCTCACAAGGTCTGGGATGTCCACTGCCACTCAGGTGACACATACCTTCACCTCTGGCTGCTTCTGTTCTGTCTTGGCTGAGGCTGGACAGTGCCCATGGAAGGTTATCGCTGGGTTTATTCTGGGAGAGGTGCTTGGGGAGGAATGGTAGCCCTGGGCTGCACAGGGAGCATCAGCTGGGCATTCATTCACTTCCTTGTTCTTTCATTACTTCTCTTCTTCCTTCACTCATGGTCATCCCACAGCCTCTGGGCATTTACTCAGCTGTCAGACACTACGTTCGATATATTGGGGGCCTTGGCCCCTCCCAAGCCATTTCTGGGTGTCGCTGTGTGAAACAGAACCCAGCCCGACAGGCCACTGGATGGACCTCCGTATTCCCCAAGCAAAGATCGTCCACAACAGGGGCAAGCCCGCGTCTGGCTCCCTGTCCTGCCTCTGTCTCCACTCCCCAGGGCATCGAGAGACAGCTCACAGGAGCCCTCCCAGCGCCCCTCCCAGGTGCTTGACAACGTGGCCTGGAGGGGCAGCCTCCCAGCCCCCCAGGACTGCAGCCCCTGGTTGCTTCAGAGTTTTCCCACCATGGGCTTCCCAGCTGCCATGCCTGCCCTCAGCCTCCTCCCTCCCAGCCCTGCCCTCCCTCAGCCCCTCTCCTCCAGGCGGCTCCTCCTCCTGCCTGCTGTGCTCTTGGCCCTGAGCACTAAGCCTGATGCAATGCCTGGCAGGGCCTGTCCCTTATCAGAGCTCCATTCACAGCAGACGCGGACCCAGCTTCCCCAGGAGGAGCCACGGGTGGGCTGCAGTCCCGCTGGGGCCTCCTTGGAAGGCCCAGGGAAGCCAGGGCCTGGCTGGGAGCCATCTGAGTAGAAGACTTTTGCCTAGTGAGGGCCCCTGGCCCGGCCCGAGGAAAGGTCCCCTGAGGGGAGCGCAGGTAGGGATGCCAGTGTTTAGAGTTTGGGGCCTCTGCTCCCAGCCCACTTCCTCCCGGGCTCCCTCACTCCGATTGGCCTGGGTGCCCTTGGCTGGGTTCTGTTCTCCCCGTCATTAGCACACAGCTGCAGGGGCTTGAGCGGAAAGCCCCAAAGTGTAGCTTCTTCAGCCTCAAAACGGCATCCAGATTGAGAAGGGAATCCAAGAGACTGATGTCTGTGAAGCGTGACGTTCTGACACTCAGCACACACCCATAGTGTACGCCTATAGAACACACTCAGCGCGTGCTTATAGTGCACACTGAGACACACGTTCACAGCACTTGCCCATGGTTCACACGCAGGCATATACTCGCAGCACATGCCACACACATCGCACACGCACGGCTCCTCATATAGGGAGCGCCTGCTTTTCTTCTTCATATTTCCCAGGAATTCAGAATGATTAAGCATCTCACACTGGGCTGAATGCTTCCGTTCATCCACAAGGACTGTGGCACACTTGCTGCCTGCCCAGCACACAGACGGGCACTGGGATAGGGTCGTGGACTACCAAGGCAGAGCCGAGATGACACTGCCGTTCCCAGGACACCCAGGTGGCCAGAATAGGCAGTAAGCAAGCGCATTGTGTCAAGAAGGCAATAAAGCTGGAGGCTGAGGGGGAAAGTGATGGGGCAGGGGAGATGGTCAACGGTAGGTTGGTGGTCAGGGAGGGGTTCGGGGGAGGGGACATTTGAGTGGAGCCCTGGGTGTAAGTGGGCTGAGGGTGGCTGTCCCAGCACCTCTCTGCATCCAGGCAGGGCTGGGCTGGCCCTTGCCCCCGACCTCCTCACCATTGGCCCAGGTGCCCTGGAAATGTGACCTCTGCTGGCATCCTGGCCAGGGGATGCCGTTTCCTTTGGCAGTCACACCACTGCTGGGCACCACTGGTTTGGGGAGAGAGGGAGCATGACGGTTTGTCCTGTGTCACCAACGTCACAGGCTCACTCCTAGCAGAGGGCTTTCGGCAGGGCAGGTTCTGCCTGGAGCTTGGCCAGGTGACCCTGTCCTCCTTGCTCGTGACTCTGTGACCTCCTGACACCCGTGACCCTCTCCTACCTCCTGGGTCTGGGGCTCCCACATTCCCCCTGGGCCTCTAAATCTCCCTCCTCTGCTGCCCATCACCCCACCCACATGCCGTCTGGGCCAACAGCCTGCCTGGTGTTTCACGTCAGAGTAGTCACCCTTGCTTGTCCTTTTAGGGCGATGCCTGAGAGTTCTCAGGAACCTGACTTATTCGGGTGGCGGTGGGGAAGGGAGGAGGCTGGGATGGCAACTCAAACAGGAACAGTGCCCGGAAGGGAGGGGAGGAGAGATTCGGGAGCTTTGTCTTCAAGGCCACCCAACTCCTAAATCCTATCGAAGATGTCAGACTCAGAAGGGAGAAGACAGAAGCAACTCCCGTCCACCCCTCCCTTTGCTTCCCTCTCTAGTATTTATTGAGCGCCTACCACACACCAGATACTGTTCCTCACAGCAACCTGATGCCGTAGGTACTGCCCTTTTCATGCTACAGGTGAAGAAACTGAGGCCCAGAGAGGTTAAGTCACTTATACAGGGTTACACAGCACGGTAGACACCCAGGGAGGACTGGAACCCAGGACTTCTGGTTTTAGTTACTTCTGCTTCCCCATCAGACCCAGGCAACTCTCAGCCAAGAGCTAGGAGGGCAGAAAGTCAGGATTTCAATGCCTGCACCCTGCAGACTCAATGTTGGGCCTCCCCCTCTCAGTAGGACAGGCAGCCTCGCACGCACCGGCGGCTAAACAGGGTGCATGGGAACGTGGTCCTGCCAGTCATTCTGCAAACATGCCGACAGCCGGCCAGGCACCAGCTGTGACGGGTTCACTCACCACAGATTTGTTGGGCAGCTGGTATGTGCCGGGCGCCATTCTAGATGCTAATTCTGACTTCAGAGAGCTTGTAGTCTGGGAAAGAGAGACAGCCAGCCATCAGCTGGAAAGCCCTCCCATATGTGCTGCAGTGAGGGGTGGGGTTGCGGGTGTGGGGGAGGGGGGCGCACTGGGAGCATTAAGAGGCTTGAATGACCTGCATCTGGCCCGAGTGATCAGGCCACTGCTGGAGGAACCTTGGGCCAGTTACTTAACCTTTCTCATCCTCTGTTTCCTCATCTGTAATGTGACTTTTGTGAGGACTTCATTCGGAAATGCAAATCAAGTGCTTAGCATGGTACCTGACACAGACTAGTAAGCATTCAATAGACTTGAGGTACCCACAGCACTCCAGTTCGCCCTCCCAACCAGAGTGCAAGCCCCGTGAGGGCATGGGCCGGGTCTACCTGCTCACTGCTGGATCCCAGTGCCGAGACCTGAGGCTGGCACGCAGTAGGTGCTCAGGAAATATTTGTTTAATGAGTGCACGGGGAAAGGCCCAGAAGAATTGGGAATGTTCTAATTGCCCTGGGGCTGTCCCTGCAGCCCTCTTCCCACCTGGGCCCCTCTCCACCTCTCCACACTCAGGAAGCACCCCTATTCCCTCATCAGGGAGAGCTGCCTGCCGCCCCACAACCACTTGCCCTGCACAGCTGGGGACTTCCATTCAGCTGCCAGGGTACACATCTCCCATGCAGAACCCACCTCACTGCTCCCCTCAAGGCCAGATTTCCTGCTGTCCTTGAAGCTGCTTCCTTGTGTGACTACAGGGCAGCCCCGGGACTCACTTCCCTGCTCCCCCAGCCCCCATGTCAATACCAGCTGCTTCCCTGGGGGAAACCAGTCTTTATCAGATGGAGGGATGGTCCTGGGTGCCCGGCACAAGGTCACAGTAAGATTTTTCCATACTCGGAGCAGACTGTCTCCTGTGGATGAGGGTCCTTATGGAGAAAGGGGCGGACTATCAGAACAGGGCGCTGTGCTGGAATCTGGGGCTCATAGTGCAAGACAGGTGGGTGACAGGAAAAATGAAAGAAACGGTGATTCAGGCTCCATTGGGCAATGCTGTGTTTGCTCCAGCTTTTAAAAATATACATGCCTTCTACTGAAGGTCATTTATTCCTTTATCCCTCTGTCATTCAGCAGCTGTGCACCAGTGTCTCCTGTGTTCCGGGCCCAGGGCTAAGGGATAATGAAAGACAAACTTCCCGTCCTCCGTGAAGGGATGGTCAGCACTGAACAAGCTATTACAAGGGCGGCTGCTTTATGACAAAGTCTCAGGTACTTTGGACTCTGGGAGTCTTTGTATAGTGGTGGGGCGGGGAGTCCTAACATGTCCCCAGGGAGGCTGCCCCAGGAAGATGAGACCTGAAGGCAAGGCCATGAGAGGGATTTTGTTAGAATTCATGAGTTATGGTTAATTTTTAAAAATTAACACATTGTAGCCCTGGCCGGGTGGCTCAGTAGGTTGGAGTGTCATCCTGTACACGAAAAGATTGCAGGTTCAATTCCCATTCAGAGCACATACCCAGGTTACAGGTTCGATCCCCGGTCAGCATGCATATGAGCAGCAACTGATCCATGTTTCTCTCTCCCTCTTCCTCTGTCTCTAACAAAAAAAAACAAAAACAAAAACAAAAACAAAAAATCAATCAAAACATATCCTTGAGTGAAGACTTTAAAAAAAAATAAACACATGGTAAATTTTCTAACTGTGCACAGTGTTATACCACAAACTTAAGACTCACCCACCCTTCTCTCCTGACCTCCCCAGCTCTTTGTTATGAGGCCTTGTGTATCCCCGTAGTCAGTGTATTAAATAGACTCTATTTGTATTCAGCATCTATATTTTTCTCTCTCTGAAAAATGTTTTTTTCAAATGGGATTATACTACATCAGAGGAACTAACCTGGGAGGTTCTCCCCCTGCCCAAGGGGCAGCTGGCAAAGTCTGGAGACATTTTTGATTGTAACATCGGAGCAGAGAGGATGCTACTGGCATCTAATGAGCAGAGGCCAAGAATGCTGTTAAACATCCTACAATACACAAGACAGCTCCCACAATGGAGACTCATATGGCCCAAAATATCAGTAGTGCTGAGGTTAAGAAACCCTGTTCTATATAAGCACATTGTGTCTGCAGCTTGCTATATACATGAAATGATGATAGATAGATAGATAGATAGATAGATTGATAGATAGATGGCAGATTATTCACATCAGCATTTGTAAGTCCTCCCCCATCATTTTTATTTAGGTGTCTACAGTCTTCTGCTATTGCAAACATTTGTACTATACAGATTGTCCTTTTCCATATACTTGCCCTTGAGTCATGTGTGAGGTCAAAGGATAAATTGATGGAGGTGGCGTGGATGAGTCAGAGGGTTCATTAGCATTTAAGTGACCTGAATCAAGTCTCTTTGGGGAAGAGTCCATTAGGACAGTGCTTCCGGGGTTCTGGCTGCCAAGCAGGACCAGGATCCTCAGAAGCCTGGTGGCAAAGCTCTCTTCATTCTCATCTGCAGATGAGGGTGTCCTGACAGCCTGTCTCTCCACAGGACGAGGGTGTCCCCCACCTGAAGACAAGGAGCCAGGCCCTGAGTGATGCCCTGGAGCCGAGTGCCCACGGCCCCACCCTTCCCCATGGAGAAAGGACTTGCTTTGCCCCAGGACTGCCGGGACTTTCTGCACAGTCTGAGAATGAGGAGCAAATATGCCCTTTTCCTGGCTTTTGTGGTGGTGGTTTTTGTCTTTATTGAAAAGGAAAATAAAATCATATCGAGGTGAGGGATGCCAGCACAGTCTTCTTATCAAGGCGGGTCGGGGAGAGGCTGCTTAGGCACCTGTAGGCAATCCTTCCACCCGTGATCACCAGACCTCCTGTGCCCAGCAGTGGGCCAGGCACAGGTCCTCAGTGGTGAGCTCTGGGCTCTGGGCACAGGCAACCTGGGTTGGAACGCTCATTCTGGCCCTTTCTAGCTGTGACACTTGGACACATGATTTCACTTTTCTGTCTTTAAGTTCCTCTTCTCTGAAACATGGCTTATGGTGGGGCCTACCTTACTGTAAAGATTAAATGAAAAAATGTAGTGCCTGGCACATAGTTGGTGTCCAGTACTTGCTGGCTGTGGTTTATTATTCATTAACTTCCTGGCCTAGGATGATGCCTCAAATGAACAGCCCATCCCCTATACCAGTGGTCGGCAAACTGCGGCTCGCGAGCCACATGCGGCTCTTCGGCCCCTTGAATGTGGCTCTTCCACAAAATACCAACTTCTGCACATGGGCCACGAAGTTCCAATGTGCGCACCTGCACGCGGTATTTTGTGGAAGAGCCACATTCAAGGGGCCAAAGAGCCGCATGTGGCTCGCGAGCCGCAGTTTGCCAACCACTGCATACCAATCCAAAGTCATGGGTGTGGGTGAGCCCACAGAGAGGCAGGGCCCTGATATGGATACCCTGGCGAGCAGGGAAGCACGTGTAGCTGCTCAGGTTATGTATTGCTCAACTCCAGGACAGTGCACTCACATAGGCAACACTGGGAATGCTGCCCCCTAGAGTTCTCAGTGTATGGCTGCATGCAGCGTCCCTGCTAGTGAGCCTGCCACAGATTGCTTTAGATCAGTGGTTCTCAACCTTCCTAATGCCGCGACCCTTTAAAACAGTTCCTCATGTTGTGGTGACCCCCAATTTCATTGTTACAAATTGAACATAATTAAAGCATAGTGATTAATCACAAAACAATATATAATTATATATGTGTTTTCCTATGGTCTTAGGCGACCCCTGTGAAAGGGTCGTTCGACCCCCAAAGGGGTCGCGACCCACAGGTTGAGAACCTCTGGCTTAGATGCTTCTCCAGGCACAACCCCTGCAAGAAAGCATCCACCAAGATGGGTAGGGACTGGGCTGAGTCAGTGCCCTGCCGGTGTTCCTCCACATGGACCGTTCCAGTTCGTGCCTACAGGGCCTACTGCAAGCCCCTGCCGCTCTCGCCTGGGGGCTCCTCACTCCCCCTGCACACTGGCAAGGCACAAGTACCGCGAGGAAAGGCCTCGGCCAAGGCGGGCAGGGAGCTTTGCCCCTTGGGAGAGAGAACCCTGAGGTGTGTTCCTTGTCTCCCAGGGCACCCCAGTCAGAGTGATTTGCCCACAGGAGTCGCCTGCTCATCTTGTATGGACTTACTTTCCTCCTGGCTTCACTTCCCTACCCCTCTACCAGTCTGTCCTGTAACCCTGTCCCAAATCAACTACTTACCCTCCAATCCTTGCTTCAAAGTCAGCTTCGGGGAAAGCCCAGCTAAGACAGGCTTTGGGTGGTCAGCCTGGGAGGCTACACAGGGGATGGAGGCCCCCGTCAGTTACTGAGTGTGGTCTCCCTTTGTCCTCACAGGGTCTCGGACAAGCTGAAGCAAATCCCCCAGTCCCTGGCAGATGCCAACAGCACGGACCCAGCCCTGGTCTTGGCCGAGAACGCATCCCTCTTGTCCCTGAGCGAGCTGGACTCAGCCTTCACGCAGCTGCAGAGCCGCCTGCGAAACTTCAGTCTGCAGCTGGGCTTGCAGCCAGCGGAGGAGGAGGAGGAGGAGGAGGAGGCCAAGCGGAAGGAGGAGGAGGAGGCGGCGGAGGAGGAACAGGGAGAGCAGCCACCGGGCCCCGCCGAGGCCCGC